GAGGTGAACTTCTTCTTCAGTCTGCAGTTGATAATGGCGCAGTATATAGAGATAAAAGGCCAACGGAATTTCTTGTACTTTAAAATGGCGGCGCTTTCAAATTTCTATTCAGCAACCTTCCGTTAAACTGCTGAGCGCTCGAGCTCACTGATTTTTCTCATGCAGATATAAAGAAAATAGCACTTACAAGCATCTTATTTTTTTCTCATGTAATTAATTTTGTATTGCGATCTTGCCTTTAATTTAATAGCTTTGCCTGACAGACAAAGACTGCAATATTTATTCGTTATAAATAATATCACAAGCGGCAGTTTGTTTTCTCGCCAATTTTAGTTATTTTCTTTCCTGGAGCCTGACTTTCGATTGCAGGAACTCCGATGCCGCAAACAGAGGCTGCTATGGTGTAGGTGGTTATCCCAGCATGCCAGTTAACCAGCTCTCACACCGCGGCAATTTGCTTTTGAAAGAACAGCGTCCACTTCAAAGCGTGAGGCAAAGTGAGGCAAACGGTTTCCTATTTAGAAGCGGCGGCAGACTCAGTATCGATAGAAAAAACTGCCGATATTATAAAAATCGCCTCCAGCAGCCCCTCAAATTAAAGTGAAATTATATATATATATATATATATATATATATATATATATATATATATATGGGTCTTTGGTTATTCGGGTCTTCTCCCACATAAAATTGGAATTGTCTTGGCGACGTTTCGACGAAGTCTCATTCGTCATCTTCAGGCTGGTGTTCTCGGCTTCGTGCTTCCAGGAGCAATGCTTGTTCTCGGCTTCGTGCTTCCAGGAGCAGTGCTGATGACGAATGAGACTTCGTCGAAACGTCGCCAAGACACTTCCAATTTTACGTGGGAGAAGACCCGAATAACCAAAGACCTACATACAAACACCCGCGAAAACCTGAGAAAACACACACACACACACACACACACACACACACACACACACATATAATTCCAATTAAATGAATTAAATAATGTTAATCTTCCTGACTAATTAGCACTCCAGTCCTACCACATCGACTGAGTGAAAAGAACTGAGCATGCGCAGAGGGAGGAGGCGGAACCAGGCTGCAGAGGGAGAAAAAGTTTGATGAGCACTCAGTAAAATCCAATCGAAGTGAAGATGACCCATAAGTAAAGAATGTCGGAGCAACGATGCATGAAAATATAGTAGTATGCATAATGTACAACACTATAGCATTGTAACATTCTTACTGCTTCTTTTTCCTAGTGTTTTCCCTCAAGTGAAGGGTCAACTTTTTTTCCAGATCAACTGACCGTTGATCCATTTACTTGTGACAGAAATTGACCAACCAGCTTTTCACCCAAGTCTGACATTGTGGACTGAGAGTGACTGACCCAAAGTCACTCAATTGGATTTTATGGGTACAGCAGGACTGGAACTCATAGTTGTCTGGTTTCTAGCCTGGGGCCTTAATCAATAAACCAAACTGGCTCTCTTTTAATAATAGTCCTACTCTGATGGGAATAAAATGTCTTATAAATTTAATTGAAAGAAAAGGCAAATTTCTTAATTACTCATATGATTTTAAAATATGTCAACAGATTTTAATTATGAGTTATATTTTTGTAATACAATCACATTGACTAGCTTAAAAGTCAATGGCTTAAAATTATCAAGGTAGAGTTGCAGCATCCCCTTCTGGTTGGAAGATCAGTTTTCATGTATCTGCATGCACTTAAAGGAGTCTCAAGAATCAGGAAGTTATATAATGGTCATAAAAGGTAGTACTCTCTTAGGTCTTTCTGACAGAACTTTCTAACAGAATATACCCCACAACTCTACCTGGGAATATTGGAGTTCATTATTCAGAGTTAGATAAAGTTAATCTTGAGGCCATTGTTCTTAGAGATGAACTACCCTGCTCAATTTCAAAGTATTAGCAAATACAATCCACTCAATGTTCCTTATTATTAATTTTACCCCCATATAAAGCTAGGAAGTAAAAGGGGGGGAAAAAACAGGAAAAGCCAATGATAAACAAATAGCAGGTAGCTAACCTTAGGAGCTAAACTGATTAAACCTCTTTAGTACTTGGACCAAGGAATACCAGGGTTATGTGTAGGCTGAAAAGTTGAAAAGCATCCTGAAAGGCCATAACAAAATACTTCAGTACAGTTGCGAAGCAAATTAAAAAAAGATGCAAATTAAAAACTGATGCAAAAATGTGAAACCCACTTAATCAGAACAATGCTATGTAGTTCACAAATAGATAAAATTTGTATCTTGTTACTTCAACCTTATTTTTTTAAAAAATTGATCATGAGCTTATTCATATTACCCTTAATAGATTCTATATAGTAGATCCAAAAAGGCTTTGTCCCATATTTTTTTTCTCACCTATTCATACTTCAGGAGCTCTGTTTTATAGACACCTGTTCTATCTTTCAGGATTAGTTAAAGATTAAATAATGTCATTCAAAGACTTAACTTCGAAGCCCTAGTAAAGATAATATACAGCATGTGTAATCATGTTTATAAAAGTAGTTATTTTTTACATACTTTCTCAAAGTGGCACCCTCCATAAAAGTTGGAAGTAACTTCATACCAAACTGAGGACACCAAACTGGGGGAAATTGCTATAAATAAAATATATTATTTATAAAAAATACTTCATATGTAATTTAATATCCCAGTAAAGTCTGTAAATGGCTTTTATCCCATTTTTGATAAACAGATAATCAGATGTTTCAGGTCTATGTTACACAGACCTGAAGTAAGAAATTAATTTGGTTACAATTAAGCTGTTTCAATTCTTCTTTTTTAAAAAAGTATTATCTGCTACCACCTAAATGTCCAGGCATCAAGCTCTCAAATTTGTTTGCACAATACAGTTTTAATCCTTGCATATTGAAGTATTGTCTAGTTACACATATTAAGATAGTACTTCTGATAGCAGTTTCTCACTAAAAGTACAAAATCAATTAAATCATATAACATACCAGTAATTATAAATTGCAAGTTAATTTATGCATATAAATGCTTTCAGTGTAGACATTTTTAACATTTGCATTTCAATGCATTTGAAAACATAAGAAACAAACTTTGACAAAATAGCAACCTTATCATATGACCAGTTTAATATTAGTGTCAACAGCCCAAAATTAAAGTTTTATAGGTTCAATTACAGTTGCTGTATAAAACAATGAAATAGAGGAAAAACACAAACTAAAAAGACATTAGTGATCTATAATAACCCCTCATTTAACCAGTTGTTTCTGATCTTTCTTTCTACTGACATGGACTTTGGCACTGCCAAGCAAATTAGAGAAATTTTAATACAGATTTGGAATATATATTTTAACCAGACCTCAGAATAGCATTCTCTCCATGATCCTTCAACAATATCAGTTATGAATATTAAAAAAAATTGTAACTCAAATTAAATAAATTTCTTCTCAAATTATTTAGCCTGACATTATCCCACTGAGCGTTACAGAACAGAGTTCAGGGATTTGATGGAATCATGGATATCCAGATTCTTAATACTTTCCATACATCGTTACTACATAGTTGCAGCAGAAAATACCCTGGATCATATCTGGCGCTTCCATACATGGTTTTGCTGCAGTGTTTTAACTATTTGTGAAACTGATTACATATCCACAGCTCCTTAATGTTCCACTTTCTGACAGTATATCTTATCTTTGTATCTGCAGAATGGGCATACAAAATAAGATACCATAGAACTGCTTTCTCATTCGAACTCTTCTCACAAGATGTATAATTCATCTGGAATGTCTTTGCTTTTATAAAATGGCCCCAAATTCCACATTTCTGTAATATTCTCAAGGAAGCAAGTCTGTGAGAAACAATCTACCAACTAGGGTCAGTTTATACCAGATGCAAAGAAATAAATATATTTTATGCCCACTCCCCTCCCTCCTTGTTCGCTTTTGCTAACACTCAGTGCAACAACTCATGGATGATATGATCAAAAAGTACCAGATGAGACAGTGGAGGGATGATGAACTAGCTATAATTTATGCTGTGCTGATTAGTTTTGCTGGGTGATGAATTTAGTTGACTATGAAGTTTCTATTCCAAATTCCACCAACCTGTTGCTTCTCCATCCTTTACAAACAGCATATCCATTCCACTTTAACAGGATGATGGAGGGATATAAGTAATCCAGGACATTTGAAGGCACTATGTTTTCTTGGCTTCAAAAAATAATTTCCCCCTCTTTGGTCCCTTCTGAGTCAATCGCACCATATTTTATAATATGGTTACCATATTATTTAAAAAGTCATAGAGACTCTGGAAAGATTGCAGAAAAGGACAACAAAGATGATTAGGGAGCTGGAGGCTAAAATATATGAAGAAGGGTTGCAGGGATTATGTTTGTCTAATCTAGTGAAAAGAAGGACTAAAGGTGACATGATAGCAGTGTTCCAATATTTGAGGGGCTGTCACAAAAAAGAGGAGGTTAACCTATTTTCCAAAGCACCAAAAGGCAACAATGGATGGAAACTAATCAAGGAGAGAAGCAACCTGGAATTAAGGAGAAACTTCCTAACAGTGAGAACAAATAACAGTGGAACAGTTTATGTTCAGAAGTTGTAGGCGCTCCATCACTGGAGGCTTTTAAGAAGAGACTGGACAGCCATTTTTTTTAAAAAATTTGATTTATATGCCGCCCTTCTCCGGAGACTCAGGGCGGCTTACAATGCGTTAAGCAATAGCCTTCATTCTTTTGTATATTTTATACAAAGTCAGCTTATTGCCCCCACAAACTGGGTCCTCATTTCACCTACCTTAGAAAGGATGGAAGGCTGAGTCAACCTTGAGCCTTGGAGAGATTCGAACCAGCAGAAATTGCAGGCAGCTGTGTTAATAACAGGGTGCACTAAACCACTGTACTATCAAGGCTCATTTATCTGGAATGGTATAGGGTTTCCTGTCTGAGCAGGGGGTTAGACTAGAAGACCTTCCAACTCTATTCTGTTATTCTGTACTTACAGGTAAGAGGTGAAGACGCTGAGGTTGGCGGGCATATCTGTGAGGCCCAGGTCGGCGCAGTCCACCCGCAGGAGCATCCCGTCTGGCTCACAGTGACAGAAGCCCGGGCAGCTTCTTTGGCGCGTCCCGAGTCCGGACGGCAACCCGAGCAAGCTGAGGAGAAGCAACATACGGACAGGGACGGCGGCAACCGCGGCGGTGTCCATGGTGCCAAAGCAGCGCGGAGGCAAACGGCGACGGCTGCAGAGTTGCTTTTCCAGAAATGGAAGGAACTTCTGACATCCCCCCTTAACTATCTAACCAGCCGGAGCGCTTGCCGGCGCGGGAAGGGGAGGGTGGGGGCGAAAGCGGTCGGTCTGAAGCTTTCCGGGACAAGCCTAACTTGAGGGAGAAGGGTGGCGGAGCGCTCGCGTGCCAGCACAGCTGTGGGTGAGGGCGCTGGAAGGCCGCCCGCTACCGTAGCCCAAACGACTGCTGGCGCACGCGGCTCTCTATGGGAACATCTCGGTTTACACGCCGTTTTTAAAGAGCTGGAGTCTAAACCGCGCACCCCTACTGACGTAGCCCCAGCGCTGCCTGTTGCTCGCTCGCAGCTCCCGCCGACGCTGGAGGTTGTGTTTGCTTCAGCCAGCGAAAACTCGCGAGCAGGGCTGGAGCCGGGAGGGGACGGGGGAGGGCTGCTGGCGCTGTCGCGGTTCGTGTCACTGGAGCCCGCGAAAACAAGTTGGGGGCGCTGAGAGGCAGAGCGAGCAGCTTCCCTCCCTCCCTCCCTCGCTGGCGGCTTTTTGTGCCAAACGGGAAAAGGTCGGTTTGGCTGGCAGCAGCTCAAGTGTCCGAGGCGATGGCCATTTGCACAATTAAGGCGGTTGAGATAAAAGGTTGTTTTCTTCCCGCTCCCCACCCATCTCTGCAGCCACCTGGAGTAGTTTGGGCTTACTCGGATTGCCAATTTTCCGCACTTTCTCGATAGAGGCGTTGCGTCTACAAAAGTTGGAAGGTGGCGCGAAGTCGGCAGGTGCAGCCACAGTGAATGCAGTACAGAAGAAGCCTGCTCTGTAATCCAAGGAGATTCGGGTGACAGAAGCCCACGCTAGCTGAATGTTAGGAGACAATTCCTAACACTAAGTGTCCTCGACTGAACAATCAATTAGCTAGAGAAGAGGTGGGCTCCCCTTTACTGACTGTGTTCAGGCACAGGCTGGAAGCGGCCACTTGCATTCCTTTGGATCCCTGACAGAACATTAAGTTGAGTTCTGTGGCCTAATTGCCTTTTTTTTTTGTACTCTCGATACTTTTACGAACCTTTCCGAATTGCTGAGCTGAAGTGTTTTCCACTCACTGAGTTGACATGGAAATTTGTTGTGTCTATTGGCAATTTGTAGACAGTCTCTCTTGCCTTTGTTTTGAATAGAAATTGGCAATAGCCACAACAAATTTCAGTTACCTGACTTGTGCCCAAAGTAATGGGTGACAAAACCTAACAGATTTCATACAATTCAAGGCTGCCTTGGGTGATGTTTAAATAATTGGCAAAATACAACTTTACTACCTGCATGGCAAAGGGCAACTTAACTCTTGCCCCATTCAAAGGCTGGGACTGAAATGGAGGCAACATAAGAAAAATATATATGTTTTTTTTGGCAGATGTTTATATCTTATGTGGTTAAGTGCAGATGGAAAAAGATACTGTGATTCCATGTGGAACTATACTATAGATGAGGCGTCCTTCATTTGCTACCCTCTTCAACTTGTGCTGGCTGGGCTGAAATTCAATTTATTCAAAACATACTAGGCTGGGAATTGTAGAGCTAGTTTGAGGTAATGGTTAAGGCATCAGGCTATAGTTCTAGTTGGGCCTTAGGCATGAAGCCAGCTGGGTGACTTTGGGCCAGCCACTTTCTCTGAGCCTTAGGAAAGAGGCAATAGCAGACCATTTCTGAAAAACCTTACCAAGAAAATGGCAAGGATTTGTCTAGTCACTCTCCAAAAATTTGACCTGATTGAATGGAAGGGGTTGGGGGAAGGTTAGTGGAAGATACAGGCAAAATTTCTGTGGTTGGTTTGTTTTTTGTAGTTAATCTCTGTTTTCATCCCACAGAGCCAGCACATCTTGGGGATATACACTTTCACAGCCAATTTATAGAGCCAAGGTAATCCAGTAAATGATACTTGAACAAGCTAAATGTCTTATCAGATGTTTAAACATTCAGTGACCCTGACTAGAACCAAATATATGGGTAAGATCAGATTTAGAGTATACTGAGTAAAGATTCTTTCTTCACAAGGTACCATTACTTGTGTTGCAGTTCAAATGAATGCCAGTTTTTATGCAATCATTATGAATTGTTAACCAGTTTTAGTTAATTTGGAATCACAGTTTGGAGCCTGAAAACTCTGCTTCATTTTAATTGATGCTATATTGTCTGAAATGGATTGATAGGCACTTTTGTAGGAATAAAATAATTATAATATTACTTTAGAGTATGACCAAATCTAGTATAAATTTTCTTCAAGTTAAATACGGTATGCACAGGCTCTTAATCTTATATTGTGTACTAGCTGGATACCCGTGCTTCGCTATGAAACTATGTGATCGGGCTTGATAAATCGACACTTAAAGCTTGAAAATTAATGAGTAGTTATGATCGGCCTCTCCTCTCTCCTTCTCTTCCTCAGCCTTGCCCCACAGAAACGTCTCCTATTCCCTTCTCTCCCTCAAGCTTGCCCCACCGAACCCTATCCTATCCTATCCCCCTTCTCTCCCTCAGCCTTGCCCAACAGAAACATCTCCTATCCTATCCTTCTAAACATCTCCTTCGAAACATCTCCTATCCAAGCTTTCTAAGGCTTGCCCCACAGAAGGCTCCCCTATCTTATTCCCTTGTCTCCCTCAGCCTTGCCCCACAGAAGCCTCCCCTATCTTATCCCCTTCTCTCCCTCAGCCTTGCCCCACAGAAGCCTCTCCTATCCTATCCCCTTCTCTCCCTCAGCCTTGCCCTACAGAAGCCTCTCCTATCCTATCCCCTTCTCTCCCTCAGCCTTGCCCCACAGAAGCCTCCCCTATCCTATACCCTGGTTGCTGCTGTGAAAGTAAAACTGAAACTGAAACTCCTCTCCTCTGCTTGTGTTTTGCATTTGGAACAGATTTCTTTTCAGGTGGCAAGGGGGAGTAGAACTCCTTAGCATCAGAGCATGTTAATCATAATATAGGAAATACTAATGCTCTGATGGTCATTTCAAAAAATCTTTTCTTAGTGAGCACCTAGAAGCCAAGAGGAACATACATGGCAAATTTCAAGTTTGTAGGCTTTATGGTTCTGGAGATTTCATGATTACCATGTGAATGGTTTTTGCTTTTATATATATAGATTACGCTGTTTACCACATATATGCTTTTTTCAGGAATTCAAGATGGTTCTTTCTTCTCTAATTTTATTTACACAATATTTTGGGATAGATTATATAGAATAACTGGTCAAAGGTGAAATTCATAGTTGAGTGATACTTTGAATGCAGATATCCCCTCTTTATCATTGGTGATTAAATTGAAATATCTTTTTTCACTTTCTTCAGCTTCCATAAATCTATATACTAATAAATCACATATCTATAACCTGGGCAAAACAATGCACCACATGACAGTGTTTTCAATCAAGGTTCCTCAAATGGACTACCTGACAGAATGCTGTGATTCCTGTGGAAAATGAAATTTTGGAAAGTTCTTGCCATTTCAGTGCTACAACTGCCCTGCTATGATCACGTGATCCTCATTTACAACATACTCTGACATCTTTCCACAAACTAAACTTCCCAAACTATCCTTGGGAAGAATCTGATAGTCAAGAATACAAAATCTAGTCAAAAATATCTGACAGACAGTGGGTAAACAATAATAACAACAAAGTAGTCAGATGTTAAGTAACATATTCATTGTTTCTTTTTTACTAAGGAAATAATGAGTTAATGTATATATCTTTACTTCCTTTGATAAATGCTGTTTGATTAATGTTTGAGAGTTTGGAAAATATATTTTGCTTGAACATTATTTATTTTGTATGCATATGTTTGATTAGCTAGGAGGACAGTATGAAATATTAACATGACGTTATTTAATTGCCAGTAATATAAATATTGGCCCTAGAATTTAAGTACTGTGTTTGTTTTTACCTTATTAGAAGCAGGATAAGATTGGATTTGAATTATTTATTTTGTGCTGCATGCCAAATATCTGTACTTTAAACCAGGCCCTTCAAGTTATTTGAGAATTTCATTTATGTAAGATCTCTCAACACATTCCCTATATGAAATCACAATTACTACTCCAAAATAGGATATTGAGCTAGATCCAAATTTAGATATGTGCACAGAGCTTTAGGAAATAAACTAGCCCATTCCTCCCTTCCTCTCCATGGCAGCTCTGGGAATATGCTGTATGAATGTATAGGGACACTGATTTGTGGACTAAGAATTCAACAGAGGAACTTAAATGTGACCATTCTTGTATATTTTGAATTTTTATGCTTGCTTAATACTACCCAAAAACATTGACTCAGACTTTCCATTATGTTTGTAGTTTTGTTTTGGATAAGATGGACTTGCTAGAAAAAGCTTTGGGAATTATTTTCGTTCCTATGGTCTCTCTACTCCTGTATATAATTAAGGAGACATGTGTACCTTCTTCTCATTAAATTGATGGGAACAGGAAGAGTAGATATTTTTGTTATACACCTCTTATTAAGAGTCACACTTTGCCAATAAACTTATGAACCTTTAAAGTGTCTGATCTACAGCCCTGTTGTGGAAAAGAATCCAACTGTGAAGCATGAACAGTATCCAAGCTGGGAAAGAATTTTATGGTATCATTTGACTACTGTTGCAATACACAACTATTTCTTTTGTCTTTAGCAAGCTGTCCTTTTTTAAGGGAAAAATAACTTTTCAGGATAAGGAAACTGTTAAATACATCACGAAAAAAATAATTGTGCTGAGGCTCTGAAATTAGGAATTAAAAACCAGAGTAATTATAGTCGAGATAATATAGGTTGAATGGACATTCACAGAAACAGAAAGAATCTTGGATTGCTTTTATGTGTGTGTGTGTATGTTTGTGTTTGAGTGAGTGAGAATGAGATAGAGAAAGATCAATGTGCAAATAGGCTGCAAAAACAAAAAGAAAAGCCAAGAAAAGAGACCAGTGTTTAAATTTAAGGCAGTTACAGGTTTTCTAAAAGATACCATATGTCCTGAATGATGAAAATAAACTTGGAGTCAACTTCATTGTTTACATAATTATTTAACAGTGTTCTAGATCAGGCCCACACAGAATTGAATCAATTCATCACACACAACTATTGGCTCTAAGACTAAAGAGCAACACTTATTAGATATCAACAAGCAACTCAGAAATTAATGTTCTGTTTTTCTTTTTTAAGGGTATATTCATCCAAGAATTGTGTGACAGTTCAAAAGCAAATCCAAATGTCTGTGATCCATGATACTGGCTGTGTTTAAGAACGGGTCAAATTTATTTCTTGTTCAGCTGTGGAATACTTGAGCTTCAAATAAAACTAGAAATAAGAGCCCCATTCCTCCATTCAGAGGATCTCATAACTCAATATGCTTCCTGGCCCCTTGTCTTTCAGTATAGCTTCAGGATTTCCAATTGTCCCTCTTAGGAACTGCTAGAATTCTTTTGTATATGATCACACAAATGCACACAAAGGAATATGCATGTGGAACATTTATGAGTAAAATTATTTCCCTTTTTTTGCATGGATTGGGATTGAGAAGATTCCTGTTTCTGAAGGACCTGCAGCAGCCCCGGATAGAAAAGGGTGTTTTCTACTTGTTCTGTGTTTCTGCAGTATCATGAATGAAGACAATCATGGATCATCTTCAAACTGTTTTTCAGGAAATAAAGAATGGGAATTGTGACAGTGTGGAAATACCTATTGATTTTAACTCCATGCTCCCTATTTTCTCCAATAACTACATTTCCCATGATTCTCATCCAAATGTATGCTGTTCCCTAATATCTTCCCTAATATCTTCATCTTTCTCAAGATTACTTCACTTCCATCCTCTCTTTAATTTATTTTATCCAAGTCCTCAGACAACATTTGAACTCTTGGAGCCTCTGGACCAATGCAACATTTTGATAGTTGCTGAAAATCAGCATTCTGAGATTAGTGTCCTACAAAACACATGAAAATAATTGAAGATATAATCTTATATTTACAATTCAGACCTAAATAAAACCAAGTTCCCAAACCTGGAACCTCTTCCTCCAAAATCTGAGCCCTGGTCACATATATAACATAGCCCTGCCCCTTATGTATGATGCACCATCAATTGAAGCTTTTACCTTTCCTTATGCTGCTTAGCACTTGGCAACCAAAAGTTTGCCTGCTTTTGACACAGAGTCTCTACATTTAATATATTGACTCACATATTAAGTGATAGAAAAATAAATCAAACTGGTTTTCACTCTGTATAGTGGGAAACAAGGAAATTATTTCCCTTTTTTATTTGCTCAAATTTACAAAATTACCTTATTTTTAAAACTGTGAAACCTGTCTGATATAATTCTTTCATCTTCATAGTAGTCCATATTGGTCTGTTCTCATAATTTGACAATTTTGAAATATTTATATAATTTTCTCAAATTAGGGATCAGAAATACCTGTCTTCACAAAATAGATACATCAGATGTAAAGTAAGCTCCCTTTAATGTAGAAGCTCCTCCCTCCACCCATTTAAATGATATGGCACTATCTCCTTCACATAATTTTAAGACTTTCCCTTCAAAAATGTTTTAGTGAGTAATGAGTTACCAAAAGATAGCCTACCTGGTTGAGGAAAATGAAATTCTATCATGTTAAAAAGTTTCACTATCAATGAATTTCACAACCTGAGAATGTGAACCTGTTATCCAGAAAACTGATACATTTGACTATACACTTTATTTAATGATTTTATATAACATAGTACCAACTCTGATATCAGAATTAGGTTCTTAAACAAAGTGAGTGATTCATTGAGCTATTCAATGAGTCATTCTATTTCCTGATCAAGCAAGATTATCACTTCAAGCTGGTATGACTATTTGGGGGAATGCCAAATAATAAGGTCGGTGATACTGTAAGAATTTGGCCTTTGCTTTAAGATACCCTTCTCTGATTTGTAAAAAATATTGAAAACAATATGTCTTATAAAGTTCTAGAAATAAAAGGAATTAAGAAACTGCCTGCTTAATTTCAAATGTATTTTATATATACTGAAACTGATAAGAATTGCATGATATGATTTGAGTTCAAGCTCTCTTTTTGCTACTGTAATAAGTAATCTCTGTAGATTTCTGTCTCAATGTATCTTGATTATTTCATCAATTTAACTAAAATTTTATTAAATAAACTGAGAAGACAAGGGGACAGACTCTTTGAAAGCCAGGATGAATGAAGGTTTGGAATCTTTGCCCATTTCTTTGCCCAAGAGCCTTGGTGGCGCAGTGGACTAAAAACTGCTGTTAAAGTAGTACTTAGCTGCCAACTGCCTGCAATTACTGCGAGTTCAATTCTCACTAGGCTCAAGGTTGACTCAGTCTTCCATCCTTCTGAGGTAGGTAAAATGAGGACCCGGTTTGTGGGGGCAATAAGCTGACTTTGTATAAAATAGAACATTGCTTGGGGGGGGGCAGAAAGCCCTACTAAGCAGGTATATACAAAAGTATGAAGGCTATTGCTTAAAGCATTGTAAGCCACCCTGAGTCTCCGGAGAAGGACGGCATATAAATCGAACTAATAAATAAATAAATAAATAACTTTCTCCAACCATGGTTCCTCCAACCCATCGTTTATTGAGGAACTATATATGATGAAATGTGCAAGCAGACATATAGAGAGTTGGTGGCATAAGTCATAAACATGACCAAGCACAACTTAGAACTCATTAGAGCATGTCTCTGCTGGAAATTAGCTAGGAAAGTATTTTAAGGACTGAAGCAGACTGTGGTACTGGTCTGCTAGTGCTATAGGTAGCAACATTTATGATTTGTTTTACTTTTTGATAGATAAACCATTAGCAATGATAGTAGACAGGAAGCTGGCATGTGCTGTGGAATCAATTTCAGCTAGTGCTTCTTGAGGATAAGGATAGATTATTTGGGTAAGTTTGTACTATTGCACATCTTTAGATGCAGTTCCTTGACTGTACTGCTTGAAAATAATCAATTGAAGGAGTTGTGCTGCATCTCATCCTGAATATACGTTCTTTAGATCAATTCCTTTTTAGTAAGTTTTGATCAGTATCAGAATTTTGAGAGCTACTTTAGTTAGTGGTTAAAGGTACCAAGTTATAAATCAGAAGGATGTGATGTGAACGATAATCCTGCTTAGGCACAAAGTCAACAGTAGAAAGAAGAAAATGGCAAGTCACTTCTGAAAATGTTTCCAAGAAAACTGCAGATACTTTTCCAGGAGGAGGAGTCAAGAATGACTTGAAGGCAAAAAAAAAAAAACCCCAACAACAAACCACCATCATCAGAATTTTGATTCTTGGCCAAAGGGTTTGAGAGGATAGTGGCCGATTTGAAGTGCACCTGGATAAAACTGGTTTTTGGATCAATTTCAATTAAGTTTCTGGCTGGTCACACCATGGGGGTAACTAAGAGAAGGACAATTCCCCTTACTAGTGATATCTCAACAGCTTTTGATATCATTGACCACAATGTCCTCTTAGATAGCTGATCATTGAAAAGATTTCAACAAATGTGAATGTTCTCTGTAAATATTATATCTTTGCATATTTACTTTTTTTTACATTTTTACATATAGATATTGACCTTCATTTTGATAAGATCAATCAACTAATAAAAGTGAGTTATACAGACGCAATGCATACTTTGGTTAGAATGTCTTGAGGCCTTCCAAAATATCCAAAATAGGATGTTGAAAATGTTGGGAATTTATCATTCATATAGTAGTTTTTCTTGATTCTGAAGTTTTATATTGGGAAACCATAGGATTAGTCTTTGTATACAGAGAAAATAAAATATTTTTTATATAATAAATGCCCATAGCTTTTGGGGTGGAGGTGGTTAGGTTGTCAGGTTGAAGATAAACCCCCCAGAAAAAAATGGATGAAATCCAAAAAATGTATACATAATGCAGGGATTTCTGTGTTGTAGTTCTTTGCAATCAAACTATTAAAATGCCCATAACATTTGTACAAGTTTGTTCTAGTGGTTAAGGCTCCAGGCTAGAAAGCAGGAAGTCGTGAGTTCAAGTACTTTCTTGGCCATAAAAGCCAGTCAGGTGATTTTGGGCCAGTCACTTTCTCTCTCAGTCCAACTCATCTCATAAGGTGGTTGTTGTGGGATAATAGGAAGAAGAAGGTGTTTTAGATATGTTTGCTGCCTTGAGTTATCTGTAAAAATTCCACATGAAGTACATAGGTGTGAGGGGAGAGAATAGTTGATTATACTTCCTTTTAAAGTAGATGGAAAATTTGCTGCAGTGCAGGGCTGGACAGAGATTTTTGGTTTTTCTCAATGTTTCTGGGTTAACAGAAGAAAAAAGCAGTAGCATGCCATCTTCAGGACCTGTTGGCATGGAAGTAGATTATGCTATGGAAATGTCAAAAAACACTAAAAACAAGACAGTAGTGCAACCGTAACACACACTGATACTCATTTGAATATGTTCTCCATGTGCAAAACTTATGTGGACTTTTTGTTGAAAGAAGAAAAGATTGAATTGCTGATTTCTGGATTTGGGAACTTAAAAGGGCGAGAGAAGATGAGGAAAGGAATAAAGTGCTAGTTATCAATAGAAAGAAGGATGAAAGGCATAACTATGTGTTATGCATGATTATTTTATATACTTCTCATATTTTAACTATGTTTGTAAAATATAAGAGGCACTATTCACTCACTTAAATTTTAATTAACTTTAATATGGATTTTTGATCATCCTTGCCTCTTTTTAAATTTTATATGCTGTTTTAAGAGAATAGGAAGCAGAAAGAACACACTAATTTATATGCTTTTGTATGATATGATAGTCTCTCTCTCTCTATTTATTATAACATATACCCTATACAAGTCTGTGTTTCAAGATAATCTCTAGGTGTTTGCTTGGGGAAAAAAGAGTAGTTATCATTTTCCAAGTTAAATTCAAGGCACTGCTGTTGGTTTTTAAATCCATAATCCTTTATGAGACAATGTCTTCCATTAAACCCTTCCAACATGGTCTGCTTAATTTTTGTGATATGCATCAGGTATTCCACTTGCAGAAGGAGCTGTATCTATAGATATCTGAGACAGTACATTTTTTGAAGGAACAAAATTGGAAAAATTATTCTGAGTTTTAAGATTACACTTAAAAATCTCACGTTCCTTTTTTACCAGCCAAAAAGGTTTTGTCTGCCAGTGAGTATTGGGTGCCAATTGATTGTATCTGCTTATTTTGGCTGTTTTGCACTTTTGTCCGCACCAAATGGTTTAGGTTTGTTGATCAATGGTTGACAGTTACCTCTGTAAATTTATGTATCCACAATCACAAGAATGATGTTTATGCAATCAAGTACATCCATGGTGGGAAAACACTTTTTGAATATGAGATTTTAACACTAGTAGCAGACAAAAAAAGGGACAACAATCTAATTAGAAATCTATCATTATTGTTTCAGTGGCCCAATGTACTGATTATTATTATCTGGATTTATTTATTTATTTATTTATTTATTGGTTTGATTTATATGCCGTCCTTCTCCGGAGACTCAGGGTGGCTTACAATGCGTTAAGCAATAGCCTTCATACTTTTGTATATACCTGCTTAGTAGGGCTTTTGGCCCCCCCAAGCGGTGTTCTTTTTTATACAAAGTCAGCTTATTGCCCCCACAATCCGGGTCCTAAAATTTAATATTTTAGTCTGTTTGCTTTTCAAATTTATTTCAATTTAATTACAATTTCATTTTAATTGTAATTGTATTATATATTTAAAATAACACATCATATGCCTGTAGTGACAGAAGCATGAATGAAAAACATGAATATCCTTCTTCCATAGATTTGAGATTTTAGCTCATTTTTAAAACCTATTACCTTCTGGAGCAAAATTACTCACTATGAAGTTACATGACACTTTAACTATGGCATATCAGTTACAGATGCCCATCTCTAAGAATTTTATATTATCAACTAATTTTAACATCTTGCCAGGTTTGAGACAGATTATTCTGGAAAAGATTTGTCTAATTGGTGGTTAACACTGGTGGTTATTCCTCCTCCTCCTCCTCCTCTTCTTTTTTTTCTTCTTCTTCTTTTCCCCTTTGTCAATCGTCTGTCTTTTAAACTGCTAAAATAATATTTATTGCATTTTTTTACTATTGCCTTTTCTTACTTAAAAATGATGATTTTAATTTATTGCAAATGTACTACTTTGTACTTAGCCACTTTATGACATTAAGTAGAAGTCACAAATAATCTTTTTACATTCTTACTTACATTGGTGCTAGGACCTATATAGTCGACCTGTGCTATGCTTTAATTTAAATTAGGGCAAAACATGCTTCAGAGCTCACAAGTTTAACATCCATGCCTTTTTTCCAGGATTATACAGCTGTCCTCTATTCTGTAACATAATTTGGCGAAAAAAGACCTTTGATTTAAGAAGATGCAGGCAGATGTTATGTTCTCACTCATGCATATTCAAAGCAATATTTTTTCTTTTGAATGTAAAGCATAGTAGGGTGTATAAAGTTGATCATATGCACTAGTATACTAGTATACACACTTTTGGCGCTAGAATAGAACAGCCCCAAGTATGAAAATAATTTATTTATTATATATCCTGACACTATCTCACAACTCTAAGCAATATTCAGAATATGAAAAAATATTTAAAACGATCATGAAACACACAAAGTAACCAAACATATCATAAAAGGTGATAAAGTAAGTGGAATGTAATTATATAGGGCTATTTTTGTCAATAGGAAATTACATTCACTCCCTTATCTTTTCTCACAATAAGCATGCAAAACAATTAAGAGATAAAGCAATGAAAAAAATTGTGAATTAGAAGATTACTTTTTATCATTATTTAGAAAGATTTTTACTGTATAATCTCTGTATACAGATTTTTACTGTATAATCGGTGAAAAGAAAGCAGTGGTAACAATACAAGCATCAAGTAAGAATATAATTATTTTAGCAATTCAAAAGTCTGTTTCTGTTCAGTAAATGA